AAAATAACCAATGCAACCCAAAGCCATCAGCTTTAATTTGATTTACACATATAACCATTTAAGTCTTGCTAAATTTAAGAACCACAAGAGTTAGCGTTTCTGGCATTTACTAAAAAGACTTTGATCTCATTCCCATTAACCAAAAACTCCCATTGGATGAAAAACGCAGGAATATCAAATCTTTGACTTATTAAGACTTAAAATTGAAGTAAAACGTGCTCAAATTGGATCCATGAGTGACTTGTTTGGTCAGTCTCATGTTCTCATTCGGTTGAGACGAAGCACTGACCAGCTTTGCTCTGGTTGACGTTCCCACTTTGTTGGGATTTGGTCATGAAATCAATCTTTATGGATCCTTTGGACCCAGAGCTCACATCTGTGGCTGTGGCTGCTATCTCTGCAGATCCAAACTGGATGTCCAGCCTGACCTCACGGTTTAAACCCTTTGCGGTATCCGGCATGCTCACAATAAAGGAGCCGGCCTCTTCCACCCCCCAATCATCTACATACACCAGATTTTTTCTCTCTGTGCGATAAAATCTCAAACTCACTGCGGTCTGGTTGGACTCTATTGGGAAAAAGGAGAAGGACCTGGTTTCATTCCAACGCACATCCTCACCTTCTTCCACCAGCTTACTGAAAATGTCCCTACAGAACTCGGACCCCTCAGCGGAGAACTTCTTCTCTGCCTTGTGCTCGGACTCGTCAAACTCAGTACAGATCTCAACCCCATAAGTACAGGCACTTTTTCGAGATGTCACCAACTCTGGGCTTCTTCCAAACTGCACCGCCCCGTTTACGATTGCCTCCTGAGCTCTGGAAGGACAAAGGACTTTGCATCTACCCCCAAACTGCCTGGTTATGTGCTGGCGCAGTATCTGGCTGGCAGCATAGCCCCCCACCAACAGAATGAACTCAATCCTGAAATCTTTCTTAAAGATTTCTCTGAGACTCTCAGTGATGCCATCCAGACTCTCAGCAAAGAAACCCCTCAGCCTTTCTTTGGAGATTCTGATTGAACCATCATCCCAGGTGACACCTTCCACTGGCTCAAAGAACTCTTCTATGTCTTTCTCTTTCTGAGCCAGTCTCCCCAGGTTAAATGAGCAGGTGATCGCAACGTCTTCATCGACCTGTTTGAGGCGAGTGAAGTCGTACATCAGTTT